TGGTGCCCAGCCTGCACTCAACATTTCTGGTAACTTTCATTGCCTAGAATTTAGTCACATCTGGCTCCACCAAATCAGGAAGGTAGACTAAGAAATACACTTCATCCATGTCCAACTAAAATTCAAGACAAAGGGGACATTACATCTTAAGGAAGACAGTTTTTTGAAATGCAAATTGTTTATAATGACCAAAAATCACCTTATTAGTTTACTATTGCTGTGTAACAAATCACAGCAACCTCAAAGTCTTAAGACATTTACTTATTCTCTCAACTTTTTACTTATTCTCAGAACCTTTTTTTTTTTTTTTGGTCAATCATGGGGCTTGAACTCAGGGCCTGGGTGCTGTCCCTGAGCTTTTCAGCTCAAGACTAGCACTCTATCACTTGAGCCACTTCTGGCTTTTTCTGTTTATGTGTTGCTGAGGAATCAAACAGAGGGCCTCATGCATGCAAGGCAAGCACTCTACCACTGATCAGAACTCTTGAAAGGCATGATTAGGTCTCTGCTCAGGGTTTCACGAGGTCACAAGCAAAGTAAAAGCAGTATGACCTTCTAGAGAGGAGGAATCTACTTCCAAGCTCATTTAGAATTCAATTCCTGCTGGGCAGACATGGTTTATGCCTTGTAATCCTAGCTACTCTGGAGACTGAGATCTAAGGATTTCAGTTCAAAGCTGGAGTAGGAATGTCCGTGAGAGTTTTATCTCCAATTAACCGCCCCCTCCCCAAACACACACACATACACAATAGCTTGAACTGGAGAGAAAAGATCTATATTAAATGCAAAGAAAATGTGTGGGCTTGAAAATGTACATAATGTACAAGATAAATATGAATTCAAGTTTTAATCATCTTAGAAAATAAATCAATTCTCAGGCTGTAATGAAAAATGTATTAACAATCCAAAACATCCAAGGGACTGGGATAGCATCCATTTTTATTTATTTGTTTGTTTGTTTATTTTTTGTCAGTCATAGGGCTTGAACTCTGGGCCTGGGTGCTGTCCCTCAACTCTTCAGCTCAAAGCTAGTGCTCAACCACATGAGCCACAGCACCACTTCTGATTTTCTGGTGGTTTAGTAGAGATGAGAGTCTCACAGACTTTCCTGCCCGGGCTGGCTTTGAACTATGATCCTCAGATCTCAGCCTCCTAAGTAGCTAGGATTACAGGTGTGAACCACCAGTGCCCATCAATCCACTTCCAGCTTTTAATGATCCTAAAAATAGAATCTGTCAACCTTCACTCTACTCTGCCCACAGCCTGGCAGCTGAGTACTACAGAAAAAAAGCTTAAAGTTGGAGGACCCACTGTGAGTGTACACCCACAACCTCTAGTCACACCTGGTCCTCAATAGTGTAGGCAATCTCTGGTTTTCTTTTCAGTTTCTTTCTTCCTTGTCCTCCTTCCCAGAATCCAATGTCAGCCTTCTATGCTCTCCATCAACCTTTAGTCCCATCAAAATCACCCCCACTGTTAGCTACAGACAACCTCAAATTCGACTTCACTGAAAAACAGACACCAGCCAGGAACTAATAGCTGTAAATACCTGTCAACCTTGCTACTCAGGAGACTGAGATCTGATGGTCAAGGTTCAAAGTTAGTCCAGGCAGTAAAGTCCTGAGACTTTTATCTCCAAATAAGCACTAAAAAAGCTGGGCTCAGAGACAAATCCCTGACCCTGACTTCAAGCCCTCATATTGTACACACACACACACACACCAGACACCAGGAAGAGACCCCTTCCCTCAACCAACCTACAAACTCACTTTCCTCATCTCTGCTTCTTCTTGTCAGGTTCGATGAGAGCTGAATTCTGCCTCCTGTCAAGGTAGCTATCTTCATCCACCAGTCATGAATTTTATTCCCTCCAGACATGTTCTTGCCTTCTACTGCCCTCTTTACTTCCAGTTAGGATTTAAGAGCTCAAGACTCTCAAATATATAAGAAAAGAAGAGCAGTATAGAAAAAGCTATAGATAAAGGGATACAGTTCAGCTATTTATACCCCGGCAGCTAGTTAGCATATCTCACCTCATATATTCTAATACAAACTCTATGCTCACCTGCTAATCATTAGTAAACTTTGGCCTCCACTGCTCCACCTAAGCTAACCTCAGCCAGTCACTCATAACTCTGCATCACTAATGTCCACATACCCCTCCTAGTCCTCTTGCTGCCAGGCTGACCTTAACATTTAACCCTGTTGCCCACACCCTGCCCGGAGTACTCTGCCCCACTTTCCTGAGTGAGGATCCCCTGGGCTTTCCCTCCACCTCTCTGTTCATGCCCCAGCTTCTTTTGCAGAATCTCCCATCATGTCCTCTTGCTTTTTAGGCAGAGTCTTTCCATGTAGCTTAGCCTTGAACTCTCAAGCCTCCTGTTGCAGCCTCCATTGTGCTAGGATTACAGGTATATGCCACCACATCCAGCAAACCTTCATCTCTTCCTCTCTACCCCCCACCCCACACTATCTTGGGGCTTGAACTCAGAGCCTGAACACCATCCACTGGCCTTTTGTGCTCAAGGCTGATGCTCTGCAATTTGAGCTACAACTCCACTTCTGCCTTTGTGGTATTAATGGGAGATAAGTCTCTTGGATTTTCCTATCTCTACTGGTTTCAAACTACAGTCCTCAGGTCTCAGCCTCCTAAATTTGCTAGGATTACAGACATGAGCCACCAGCACCTAGCTAGTGTTCCTCTCTTAAATATTGGTTTCCTTCAGCTTTTGTCCTAGAATTTCTTTGGTTCTAACATACTCTCAATATCA